TATTAGGTTTGGTAGTTTTATTAGGTAGGGGAAACGTAACGGGTAACGGTAACGGTACGAATTAAGTACTATAGTTAAGTAACGTACTCTCTAGTCTAATTAACTACTCTCTCTCTCTCTCTCTCTCTCTCTCCCTTTCTCTCTCTTCCCGCATACAATTTTCTCTTTCACTATAAGCTTCTTTCTTCGAAATAACCACTTTTCGTCTACCATGAAAACCACTTTTTGTCTTTGGAAAAAGCGGCTGGTTGCGGTGGTAGCACTCGTGGTACCTCAATTGTATGTTCATTTAATACTTTAAAAAAACGACTAACTGCTTTAAAAATGAGTAGAAGCATATATTTTCCACTAAAATATCACAACAAAAAAAAAGAAAAAAAAAAAAAAATTTACTCTTACTCGGAACCAACTTCTATGATGTACTCTATCCCTCGTGTAAATTTTCAAAGCAGAGTCTATCTTTCTCTCTCTTGACTGTAAATACAAAGCAAGCTCTCTCTACACACACAAAATAAGGAGGAAATGCTCACAAACTGTCATCTTATCTAGAGAGAAATTGGGCTACCCCAATCGTGACTAATGTTGTTTTGCATGTTTGATTGTAGAGAGACGATTCAAGAGTACAGTGAACATGTCCTGCGTCTATGCAAGGCGCTTCTCAAGGCCATGTCTTTGGGTCTAGGGTTGAGAGAATATTATTTACAGGAGGCATTCGGAGGTGATGACGTCGGGTCTTGCATGAGGATCAATTTTTACCCCAAGTGCCCTCAGCCCGAGCTCACGCTCGGCCTCTCGTCGCACTCCGACCCTGGCGGGCTCACTGTGCTGCTGCCGGATGAGCGAGTCAAGGGCCTCCAGGTTCGCCATCGGGACTCCTGGGTCACTGTTTCGCCTGGTCCTCACTCCTTCATTATCAACATCGGTGATCAGATTCAGGTTCTTTCTCTCTCTAGCATCTAGCAGCTCTCTCTCTCTCTCTCTCTCTCTCTCTCTAGAGTCCCCCTCACGTACACGAAGACATTACCTCATATGTTTGGAGCTCGAATTGGTTCGTGGACGAGCACCTTCTCAATTGATACAGGGGCTAAAGCAAAAATTCTCTCTCTAAAACACACGCCCTCTCATTCTCTCCCTAGGCCTAAAAGTGGGTGTAAAAGTAAAACCGTCTCTAATGACTCCGAGACAAAAGCTTGAATGTCATCACCTTCCATTAACGCACGTGTTAGGAATCGAACGGCTCTAATATTTTTATGTTTGTTGACGCGGAAGCCACTTTCTCTTCTGATATTGCGACATTTTTTAACGTCCTCTGTCGAAGGTATCATGATAAAGTCACATGTTGAATTGCATACGGCTCGGTCATAACTACCATTAAATGTCAAATTGGACCATTAAATATCAAATCGGATGATTTCATGTATGTAAAAAAAAGTTCGCTTTTTTTTTTGGCAATTTAGTGGACTTGAGTAACTATGTTACGCGAGAATGGCACCCTAGATATACAATCAGTACTACCGCCGCAGGTAGTTGGTAGTACTACCACTACGATTTCAACTACATTTTTAATCAAGTTCAAACTTTCAATCTAATCACTGACACACTCATAATTATTTTTGAAATTTTGAAATATGAATGACATGAATTATTGTGATCTCCTCGTGCTAAATATAAATGGCTTCTTTACATAATTTTTAAAAAATATAAAAAATAATTTTTTTACTCTATTTTTTATGAAATTATGTGTTATTTATGAGTTGTTTTGAAATACTCATTCAACTAATAACTCTTTGTCTAATAAAATTACTATCCTGCAGGCAACAATCCTATAGGCAACGGACCCCTTTGCCAATAAACAACCCAATAAAAAAAAGGAAAAAAGATCTCGATAATGAATTAACAATGTCCCTTATAGAATTATTTGAAATAAACTTGTAAGCAACTTTACTTATGCTATATTATATAATACGTTACTTTTACTTTAGCAGAAATAATTTGTTGAAAATCACATACTTTTAGCTTAAAAAAATTTAAAAATAGTTAAATATTAATAAAAAAAATTAAATTATTAAATAATATAATATGTGGCACAATGTATGTAATAAATAACTAACAAGATAATACTATACAATATATTAATAAATTTCAAATAAGATAAACTACTCCTGATAAAATTAACTTATTTTTTAGACAGTTCCTATATCTTTCCTTTTCTTGCTTATGACATTTATCTCAAGGAATCCATAATTCCTCTCACTCATTTAACCTCGTATAGAGGCATCTCTTTCATGCCGAACCCAAATTCGTTTCGCCCTCACAAAATGGGTGGCCGGAACTAATTCTATGGATTACGGAATCTGGATTTCAAATCTCCATGATGTCAATGCATATGAAAAAGTAATTGGATGAACCCATAAAGTTAAGGAAGAGGTTCCTATTGGACTCCACCCACATGTTTATAAATTATACATGTCCCACTTCTTTTCCATATGAATTAACTGTTAGGATTGCTCATGTCACAATTTTATGATAAAATATTATTTATTTTTTCTACAAACGATATTGAGTCAAATTTGGGATATCTCGTCCTCTTATTGCTGCACACCTAGCAAAAATAAGAATAAATATATATAGTTTGCATACAAATAAATGGCCAAAATTCCTTTAAAAGTTTCAGGGGTATGTTGATAATTTTTTTATTTTTATCATGTGTGCTCTTGTCAGATGTATGTATGTACCAAATTTTGCTGCAAAATAATATATAGAATAAAGATTAAAAATAAAAAAATTTGAGATATCATATGAAGATCTGACGAGCCAACTTGTGACATTGTGACTCAAGCCATCACAACCGTCTATGTAGATCTGATGACTGAGAACAAGGTCGCATATACTTTATAATTAGGTGGAGTTGCATGTAGAAAGCTTAAATGCAGTACAAGTGACATACATAGAGCATTTTTCTCCTGTAAATGCAACAATGCCTTTCTCTATAATTTAGGGAAGTTGGCTAAATTTTCCTCAATGAAGTTCTAGCCTTCTAGGCATTGTAAATAGAGACAAAAGGCATTTTGTAGCCATGGTTAAACGTGGTGTGAGGAGGTCAAGAAAGTGATCTTACGTGTACGGGAGTCCAATAAACTATTAACTCACTAGTCAGAAAGAAATTAGGTTCAGAGTTGACAATGAGCTTAGCAGCCCAGAAATAACCCGGGCCTAAGCAATAAGAGTTAGCCTGAGGGCCGAGCTGGGCCTCAAGTGAATTGGGTTGGCCAGGGCTAGGGCACGGCCAACCCATTGCCAACCCTAAATTTAGACTATGCTTTTATGGGAGAAAACCGTGAATTCACTCCCTTGTATAAACCTCATATAGGGGTTTTTTAAGAATTCACTCCCTTTTGTAAAACCCCATTTAGGAGTATGTAACCTCCTCGACCTAGACACCAACTTCAAAAATAAGATTAATAACAACAAAAAAAAAGCACTATGTACATGCCACGAGAAAATTATGTCCTAAGATTTAATAGAGACGATCCAATTTTTGAACAATCAAATTTAAGTGTCAACCCAGATCCTTCATTCTTTCCATCAAAAACTCGTTTTGACATGAGCAAGACACGCATGCCATAAAAAAATTGGCAATTTTTTATTTTTTTTTCGTTTTTCTCATGTTTTTAATTTTGTGTTAAGCAGGTAATGACGAACGCGGGATACAAGAGTGTGGAACACAGGGTGATGGCTAACTCGGTACTAGAAAGACTCTCGGTGGCTTTTTTTTACAACCCAAAGAGTGATCTACTAATAGGGCCCGCACCAGATCTGGTTGCACCCGACTCGCCCGCCTTGTATAGCCCCATGACTTTCGACCAATACAGGCTTTTCATACGCCAAAGGGGCCCACGCGGCAAATCACAAGTCCAATCCTTGGAGTCCAAGTCCCCTGCATCTTCCCCTCGCACCCCACCAAACAAATTGTTCAGTTAATGTAGATAGAGAGAGAGAGAGAGAGATTATCCCCATTATGAGAGAGAGTGAAGAGAGGGGGAGAGAGAGATAGAGAGAGTTGATTTTTACGAGGGACAAATACATATGCGTGGGATGTTCCTCATACTAATCAAGTGTCTCTTGATTAATAACTTAGGTCAATTTTAGTAATAAATATATGTTTTCAATTATGCACAAGTTGTAAATGAAGATTGAGATTGAAAGGCAATAAATTCATAATTTATACACTTGTCGCCCCCCTTGTTTTTTGCTTTGCCCATCGTGGGACTTTGATGCAATTCACACTTTGTGTTTTTTATTATAGCAATTTGCATACGCCCCCTAAAAATAGAGGAAAAATACGAAATACTCCCCTTGTAGCCGAAAATCATCAAAAAGATTGGTCAACCCATGATTTTATTTCCAAAATTGCCCCACAATCATCCTATAACTGAATTTGATTTTTTTTTTCCTTTAGAAGGGCATTGTCCCAAGTTTTAGGGGCATCCCTAGGCGGTCCGCGGTTAGAATCCTCGGAATGCATGTTGAACTAAGGACACCCCATTATTTGAGAGGTTCGAGGTCTCATCTTCAGACGGCTGGTTTGCTCACACAACAACAAATAAAGTGGGGTTCGAAGATGGGTACCTCATACCACTGATTTACTCAAATAATAAATAAAGTACGATATGCAGATTGAAACCTTAGACCGCCCTGTGAAATTTTAAAACCCCAAATCTATTCTTTTTCCTCTTTTCTCTCTTCTCTTCTCTCTCTCTCAACCCTCTACCTATCTAAACCCGCGATTCCTCGAGTGTTATTATTGTGAGATTCCGACCATAGAAGTGACATAACTAGGGTTATTCCGATGAGATTCCAGCCACAAGGTTGTTTTTATCATATTTATCAATATTTGCAAGATTTTTCTTGCATGACAATTATTTTAAAGTGACATAAGGGTTTGATACAAGCAATCCAAAGCGTTTTCCCAAATTGTTTTCCAAGGTTTTACATGCGCCATATGGGAGATAACTTTAAGAATGGAAGAATGCTCGTGGCCAAAATCACTTTAGAATAACACTAGTTGTGCCATTTCTATAACCGGAATCTCGTTGTAATAATACTTGAGGAGTCGAGGGTTTGGAGAGGTAGAGGGTTGAGAGCGAGCCGAAGAGAGAGAGAGAGGAAAATGAAAACATGTTTGGTATTTTTAAGTTTTGCAGGGTGGTTTGAGGTTTCAATCCTCGGATTGCATTTTTTTGTTATTGAGGAAACCAGTGGTCCGAGGTCCCCATCCTCGAACCTCACTTGATTTGTTGTTGTGTTAGGAAAGCAGCATTACGAGGATAGAGATCTTAGACCGTTCAAATAATGAGTATTTTAACCTCGAACCGCCTAGGTACTGCCTCTAAAACTTGGGGCAATGCCCTATTAAAGAAAAAACAAAAAAGACTAAAAACAATATATATATATATATCAAATTCGGTATGTGGATGTCATCTCCGGATAGAAAGGTAATTTTAAAAAAAAACCACAGGTTGAGCGACCTTTTTGGTAATTTTCAACTATAAGAGGCGCATTTTGTATTTCCATATTTTTTTGGGGCCCCGCGTAAATTGCCCTGTTTTTTCTTCTCGTTTCTTTAGCAAGTATCGAATTCGAACCCGGAACCTAAGGTTTTGAGACAAAAAAGCAAGTGGAAATCAACTCAGCTTTGTGGAAAAACTAAAGTAAATATTAAGAAAAATAATTGTGCAATGCCTGCTCACTCTAATCATTTTTTCTATATCTTTTAGAGGATAATGAGTTGCAACGGATGGCTAAGATTTTTCAAAGCAAGGCTCACTTCAAATATTTGAAGTGTCCACCCAAGTGAGACACAACACTTGGCTACAAGTCTAATGAAGGTCTATTCATGAAGAATGTGCTCATTATTTGAGATGATCATCTTTCAATGAGCCGTATGGAGCCAAACCTGTGGCCAACAAAATAAATGGGTTGGGGTCCACTCAGAAAACCAATTTTCTAACTTGTCGTCTGCTTAGTTTTCCGTAGGCAAGCTATGTTAACTGTTACTAAGACATGAGATTTTAGTTCTAAACTCAATTTCTAACATAGGATTTTGAATGAGACTGTGCTTGAATAGGGGTGTTTTCCGATGTATCCAAAACCCAATCCGAAAGAAATTGACAACCCAACCCCCTCTTTTCAAATAAATATTGGTTGGGATTCTGTTGCATTAGCTTACACACTCTATTAAGAGTGGTCTGAAATTTAGCAAGTTGATAATCTCGACCATGACAATCATATATTTAGAAAATATATAAATTTTAACTCTTAAAAGAGATGATTTCAACCTTCGGGTTGGATTGTTTTGGATAATTTATTTTAAATTTTTAAAATAATCTATGTTTAAGATTTAAATTCTATTTTTTGTTATATTCATGATCATGGTGGTCGAGATTAAGTCCCGTTGTCATAAGAAATTAAAAAGGGTTGAAATTTAGTTATGCTACTCTATGGAAGTTGTGGACAAGATTGTTTTCCATGTCGTTTTATCATTGATTGTGGTTTTTATAATGTTGCAATATTAAACAATCAAAGTAAGGTACACTTCTAAACTTTATCATGAGATACAAGTTTGGTATAAAAAATTCTTAAGATTTAAATTCTATTTTTTATCAAACTCATGATCATGATGGTAGAGAATAAGTCTCGATGTTGTAAAAAAATAAAAAATGCTCTATAAAAGTATTGGGCAAGTTTTCCATGTTGTTTTACCATTGAGTGCAATTTTCATAAGGTTGCAACTTTAAACAATCAAAGTAAGGCACAATTCTAGACTTTGCCATGAAATGCAATTTTGGTGTTGAAAATTCTTGGGATAGTACGAGAATCTACTTTTATCTCTAATTATGAAATTTTAAACACCAAAAATAGTTCAAATCAAACATATTTATAAATGCAATATAATCTTGTAAATGGACACCCCAGATAATGTTTTGCGCACGTTAGCATGAAGACAAGCAAGAAAACAAATGTGCGTTAGCCCGCGCTAGCCATTGCTTCTTGTTTTCGAGCTGCAGTTTGCTTAGAAGGGTCGTTGCTCCATTTGCTAGGCTAAAAAGCACCTTTATTATACGAGTTGCTGGGCTTGAAAGCTGTAGTTTGCAGGCTCCTCAACCTCGCTTATAGAAGTGCCACTAATCTCATGATATACTATTTTTAAGACTTGTATATTTATGCATCTCTATGTTGAGATGATCAATTATATATTTTTTTAATATCAAAACAACTTTTTTCAAAAGATTTTAGAAGTGGACCTTAATTCTACATTTTTAAGTGTTGAACTCGTATAAATTTCTTCCTTTATCAAATTGGCTCCCATATCTCAATCAAACATATGGGCTCTTGAGCATGTTAAACATGCGTGAAGTGCTTTCTCACCATGATGTTATTTTGGACTCTTCTCTTGAGTTGTGTTAGGCAGTTTCCTTACTTTTTTTTTTCTCCACATTCTTTATACCGACCACATTTGGTGCCTTTTCCCCTTCCTTATGAATCTCCTCTTCCAAACCCACACTCCCCCCTCCTTTTATTACCCAACCAATTTTCCTCTTCTAAGTTGTTTTCACTACTTCCCCTCCTTTTTGGCACAAAAGCAGTCCTCTTCTTTTTTTTTCCCTTTTTTTATTTTTTTCTCTCTTTTTGAACTTCCTCTTCATATGTGCTTTTCGTTGCTTTGTTTGCTTTTGAACTAACCTCTTTAAATGTAATTTTTCTTCTCCTTGGCATCCCCATCCCCACATCTTTATCGTCTAGAAAGCACTCTCAAACTTGTTCTTTGCTTCCCTCCCCTATATTTGCATGTGTTCTTTGTTTTAGTCAAAAGTGACAGTTTCAACTTTCAAGTGTGCTTATACATGTGGTGTTTGACAAATCAACCAGTAGTAATGACCTTTAGTTAGTGTCTTCTAAACCCCCACCACTTAGTGTGGAAGCTTTGTTTAATATCTTTTGAGTTGGTTATTCCAACTTGAAGAAAAAACAAAGATACAGAATGTGCAACACTAGTATCTACTTGTATCATGATATCTCAGCCATCCAATGTCAATAAGAAACAGTTATCGCGTGTCGTTTCTCCTCTCGAAGTCAATCAAAATTTCGACAGTTCAACCAGAGGAATGACAGTCCTCAACCACCCGTTATTGGGAGGCGGGAAAAACAGGCCCCACCAATAATGGTATTAGTAGATTAAGTAGATTAAGAGTTAGATTTTTAAAAGTATTAGTGAAATCGTATTATTGATAAAAATAGAAACCACAATATGGTGACGAGGCGTGGAGATGCTGCCTCCACGACCCCATCCCTTTCATATGGTCAATATGTATAGTTCATGTAGAAATGCATAACCAAGGTTGAAGTGGATGACCAAAGTCTAGAATGCATTGCCAAGGCTTAAAATGCTTGACAAAGTTAAAAATAACTACGATAACGTCTACTTTCTAGATATAACTTTACCCTTCCATTTTTTAGAGTAAAATTGAGTTCCCGAAAGACAACTCGAACTTCATCAAAACTCGAATGACCCCTTAGATTTAACAATTCGACGTGGAGGGACGAGCTGCTCTCTTTGTTTTAGAGGTATTTAGCACCCCCGACCAGTGTTCGTAAAATCAAATCAGAAAGGTTAACCGAACATGGGGACGAAAGCAGTTTAATTGGACTAATCGGTAAACCGGCCAATTTAACCGTTCTAATCGGGCAAGTTCTGGAAGGTCAAAAAATTGTTGAAACAAATAAAAAAAATACAAAAAAATCTACGAAAATATGAAAAACATATAAAGAAGGATTAAAACAAAATACATCCAAATGAAGGCGAAAATTAATGGGAAAAATGGATTTTAAAGAATCGATTTATGCTTAGGGGTATTTTTAAAAAATTTCAAAAAAGATAGGAAGATATAAAAGTAAATATCAATGACCAAAATGATTTTTAATATTTAACATAATGTAAAGAACATTAAAAAAATGTATTACAAACCAAATTCTTTATTTTTGAGATTTTGTTTACTTTTTTTAAAAAAATTAAATACCAGTTGATCACCAAAACCGCCCGAAACCAGTTCCAAGCTAACTGAGCAGTTACCAGTTAGATCGCCCAATTTTTCTAACATTATTCCTGATTTTGAAAATCTACAATGTGACTGGGCCATGATTGAAGAATTGTGCAAGCTTTCCTGAGTTG